GCATCTTATATCAGCCAGAGAAGCTGTTGGAGAGGGTTTGCTTTGCTGCTCCCTGCAAAATAGAAAATACTTGCTCTGTAACTGAAAAACCAAAAGGCAGCATGTGTTGGATTCATCCACTGGCCAGGGGACCAAGGATCACAAGTGCTATTCAAGCAAGAATGTCAACAAGTGACAATCAGCCTGGTTTGATCTAGATATAAATGCCAGCTTATGGCTTAGCACTTTGTTCTGACTCTGACGACTGGGTCAGTTTCCTTTCCTTATCCCTCATACACCTTGGTTTTTCGTCAGTAAGCCTAAGGATGGGTTGTCTCTCTCTCTCTCTCTTTTCCCCTCGTCCGTCTCTTGAAATGAAGCATGCTATTTTGGGAGACAATAACGGTCTGAAGAGAGGAATAACAATCAGTAAATAAACAGATTCACCAAATAAATGCATAAAACAATGTGTGATAATAAGCAGTTGATGCAAACAAGTTTTCTTAACTGTCTACAATTGTACAACTAAATCATGCAACAAAACATAGTAAACCATGAATGGTTCTGATGACACAGATTGGTTTAATTATAAGGATGTAACATAACAGTCTTCAGAAATGTTTACTTTTCATATTATTTGTCTACATCTACCTGTTTTTTTTTTTTTAATAGACAGAAGAACTGATTTCAGCGTGAACTAGGCTTGGCGTTACCAGGTCTTGTTCCAAAGGGTAAAATATAGCGAGCTTGCATTGATGCTCTATAATGCTGTTTGGGATCAATAAAGTTTTGAGACAGAAAGAGGTATAAGTCCAACTAACTTGTTCCTAAGCTGATTCTCTGGTTCAGGGATAGACAACCTTTCTGTGGTTGGGTGTATCTGTGCTTTTTTTAAAAAAATAGTCTCAAAGGCCACAGAGATGTTTCAGCACAAAGGTTAGTGCTGAAATTTTCAGTGCACCTTAAGAACTAAAATGTGCACTCTTTTGCTCCTTATTCTGATCCAAAGCCACGAAAAATACTGTCAACAAATATTGCTTTTATGCTTTGGGGCTTCCATACTAGCATCAGATTGGCCAATGTGGAAAATAGGATGCAGTTACTAGTTAGTATTTCAGTTCATTTATTCTTAGAAATATGTATAGTTATGTTCTCATCCTTATGCTTCTGCAGTTAAGTTGTAAATATTATCTGAGCACAGATGACATTCAACTGTACCTATATAAATTTTTGCCTTCAAATATATAGATGTAGGAATCTTGCTTCTTGTCCTTTGAACAGATGTACCTTTTGGCAACTCCTTAAAGAAGTTGCATCTTTTTGCCAGTTTGTGTGGTTGCAACAGCACATTTCCCTTTGAATCCAAATCCGCTCCTAATATGGTACAACCGTAATATTTATTACATTTAGAGTTACTGGCTGTTCAATATACTTTCCGGGAAAGAAAAAGTCATTCATAAAATTACCAAAATACCACTAATATTTTTATTTTCTTTTAAAATAAATACTGCTATTTGTATGAAACATTACATTGAAAATTGTGCAGTACCCTTGGTACAATGTAATTAGACTGAAGATGAAATTTCTTTCCAAGAACAAGACATTAAGACTTGGTTGCCAAACTCCTTAGTGTTTATTTTGTTGATTGAAATATTATTGGGCAAAGCCAAAACTCTACTAATAAGGAAGAGTTTTATATTATTCACACAAAAACAACCAACATTTAAAGGGATCAATAAATGCCTAACATAAAACAGATATGATTTCAAGGAATATCAGTAAAATAAATCTGCTCTGCAAAATGTCTCTATCTATCTATCTATCTATCTATCTATCTATCTATCTATCTATCTATCTATCTAT